CCATTTGACCCTAAACCTAGCCTACACTTTACATGGGATGTGAACTGGGCTTATGTCTCCATATGTTGTTCTTTGTTTTTTTTTTTATTCAAGTGCATTTTTTTGTTAGAGACTGAGAGTCCACTTTGTTAAACATTCTTTAAAAATTAAAGTTTATTGAGTTATTACACTTACATATTACACTTTTATAATTATTAGTTGTAAAATGGTCACCAGGCAATATTATCACGTATCGCAATAATTTTTGAGACAATTAATCGCCCAGCAAAATTTGTTATCGTGACAGGCCTAGTTATGTGTTATGCATTAGCTCAGTAAATAAAACAAGCTTATTTTTCTAGTGGGATATCTTGAATTTTTCTAAAGTTTTGTGTATACTTGTAGCTTTTTAAGTGACAGTTTAGTTTTAACATATGGTGTGGGATAGCTTTGTTTGTTTTAGTTCTACCTTTGTGTTTTTTATTAAAACAGCAATAAGTGCTGGTATTTGTATATCCTCAGAACTAGTGCATTTCCCCTCCCTAATTGTTTAGATTTCTTTTTTATTCTGATTCTTCTCCCTCTATGTGTTCAGACTACACGTCCACACGGTGGAGGCTGCAGGTTGAGCTGCTTGTTGATGCAGTTCAGTCCACTAGTGTCCAAGTGGAGCTCTCTTTACTGGAGCTGGACTCAGAGCAAACCATCCAGATGCAATTTCTGCCGGGAAGGAGGAAGTACAACTTCACCTTACACATCAGCGAGGTGCAGGAAGTACTGCAGTCAAACAGAAACTGAAGCAAATGTTAACAGTATAAAAGTCATTTATTGTTTGTGTTTTCCAGAGCAGCAAGCTGAAACTTTGGTGGCCCAGTGGACATGGCAGTCAACCTTTTTACCGTCTCACTGTCAGAGGATTTCAGGATGAAGCTTTAATCCTGAGCTCAGAATCCAAGGTCAGGTTTTGTGAGAACAAAAGCTCTTTTTTAAAACATGTTCTACATCTAGAAAGTTGCAGTAAAACCAAACAAAAACTAATTTAAACAACAAAATATGTTTTTGAAGTAACATAATTAAGGCTTTCCTACATGTCTGTTTATTTTCTCTGTATTTTTACATTTTAGTGTACGTCACAATTTATTCTCTCAAACAAACAAAAAAAAGTCAGTTGTTTTCCAGTCATTTTAATTGATAATGTTTCATTCCTACAGGTGTATTTTCGCACTGTGGATCTGATCCAGGAGCCAATTCCTGGATCTCCCGGGCTGAGCTTTTATTTTCGCATAAATGGGAAAACTGTTTTCCTCAAAGGCTCCAACTGGATCCCAGCCGACTCCTTCCAGGACCGAGTAACTCCTGCTGTGTGAGTTGACTTTAGTAAACTGATCCCTAAAATATTTAATGCTCCTGTTTTGAGTGATGGAAGTACTACCAGTAGGTAGAGAAGTTGTATTTAATGTGTAAATGCTAAATAATTTTGCTGAAATGTGCTGAAAAAGCTAAAACTGAGTTATTTAAGCTAAAMGAAACAAAACACTAGGTTAGCTAAATGTCTAAAGGAGCAAATGCTAGCTAAAAAATGAAAGAAGCTACACACTAGCTAAAAGCCAAAAATAGCAAAACCCTTGAACATAAATGTAGCAAAAGGCTAGTATCATAAGTTTAAGTTGAAGCTAAAAGTAGCAGAAGTCTAGCCAATAGGTTAGAGTTGAGATCAGTAGCAAAAAACCTGAAATTAGCATAAGAAGACAAAAACAGGGCACCTTAGCTAAAGAAGATTTCAAAGATAACCATGGTTTGAATTAATTTAGGAGATCTCAATGTATGTCTCTGAAGAATTTGTTTTTAAATAAACATAAATATTCTAGAAAGTATAAAATCTACAAAACCCATAAGTACGGCTGCCACGATTAATCGACGACTAATCGATTATTAAAATAATCGATGACTAATTTAATAATCGATTAATCGTTTTCTTTTTTTTTT